CTTACCTTATCTGTGTTCTTGTATTTCTCCCAGCTTTTTAACATCTTCAACCATTTTGTAGTTCTTTCAATCTCGAGCTGCTTTTGCTGAAATAAAATCAGAGGCCATTATTCTCTCCACTTCAAATACTCTCAAGGATTCTTTTTTCAACATTTATAAGCATCTAGGAACCAGACATTGTGAAGTTTTTAACAGCCTTAAATCACGAGCAAATGTTTTAAATCAAATGGAAGGCCCACTCAACTGAACAGACCTCTCTTCTAGGTTTTTGTCTTAAACAACATGGGCGTTCACAATTTTCAGCAAATGAGGAAATAGTTAACAGTTGAATTTATGTGTGTGTTTTTTTCTTTTCAATACACTTTATTAAGGTTTTATTACATTAAAAACATAAAAAATTATTTCACTCAGCAACAGCTATTTGTGGTGTTTTTCTTGTGACGATAATTTGTGCATTATTTACAAAAATTAAATTGTGCGTATTTACATTCTTATTTTATCTATTACTTATACTTAATAACTATCTATCTTTAATCTATCTCCATTCTATCCAGTTATACCACTGTTCCCACACATTGTAAAATATCGATGCCTCTTTATCTTTTAGACTCAGAGTTAATTTGTCCATTTCTGCGCAATTCATGATCTTTTGTATGACCAGTTTCTCTGCGGGTGTGCATGGCTGTTTCCAACATTGAGCGTAGGCAATCCTGTCAGCGGTTAATATGTGTAGTACTAGATATTTTGTGCCCTTCACATATTTTTTTTTCTTTCTTTCTTTATGTGTGTTTAACCATCCACTCCGTATGAAAGGCCTTTTTATACCAAGTTTTGAGCAAAAGAGTTTAACTAAAATTAAATATATTTTTAACGGATTATTTTCTGTACCCTGGGCAATAATACTTAAAATTCCACAAAATCTGGGTTGCCCCAACAGAAGTCTCTGGGTATTAAGAGATAGCTGCAAGTGGCTCTACAGCCTAACCGAGTGTTGTGGTCCGCCAGCAGCCTGTGAAGCTGGCAGCGGAGTCAGACAGCGATGAGGCTGAGGAAGAACAGGGACCAGTCCTGGAGGCTGGGGAAGGCCCGGATGAGGGCTCTGCGTCGGAGGCAGAGATGAGGCCAGGGCCATCGGGGAGTGATGTGCGGACTCCGGAGCCTCCAGAGGCTGACAGTAGAGAGGCAGAGGAACAGGAGGAGCCTGTTCCTAGTGCACGTATGAGAAGAGCTGCCAGAAGGCAAGAGCAGCTAAAGCAAAAAGGACGAACTCGGGAGTAGGGCCAAGAGATGATTGGCCCCTCCCATAAGGCTTTAAAAAACCAGCAACGGCTCTTGGGTTTTTTGTCAGAAAAACGTTGATAAACTTGGTTCTTATCTTGCTCAGCGTCTTCTCCTTCTGAACTTTTGCCAAGAGAAGCCTTTGGCAGTTTGCCTAATTATACCAAGGTTGGTGATAAGACTTTGTTTGATTTAGTTTGGACTACGCTGAAAAGGAGTTAATTCTCAGCTGTTCTAATAAAGTCTGTTTGTTTTCAAACTGTTTGCATCTAATACTACCTACTAGGGCCTGGGTCACAACTCCAAGCTCTATTTTTAGATCATCATCATCTTTTTTTAAGACTGCTTGTGAGAGATTAAGGCTCCACTTCACACAGCAAGACCTTTTCACTATTGCTTTCCTAACGTTAGTACTTCACACTGCTACCTGTATTCACACTGTATTCACACTTCACACTGCTACTTGTATGCTTCCAGGAACTGGCATTCAGCCATTGATTTTCAGAGGGAAGGACTGGCAGAAAACTCAAGGAGGTTTGATGGACCACGAGAGAGCTTTTGAAAACTCTTTGTGCTGCCATCTATTAAATACAGGGAATCCTCCACTTACAACCGTTTGTTTAATGACTGTTCGAAGTTACAATGGCACTGGGAAAAGTGGTTTACGACCAGTTTTCACACTTATGACCGTTGCAGCATCCCCATGGTCACGTGATCAAAATTAAGATGCTTAGCAACTGGCACGTATTTAGGACGGTTGCAGGGTCCCAGGGTCATGTGACTACCTTTTGCAACCTTCTGACAAACAAAGTCAATGGAGAAGCCGGATTCACTTAACAACTCTGCTATTAACTTAAGAAGTAGCAATAACAATAGCTTCTTAGACTTATATACCGCTTGTTCTGCCCTGGCAATGGACCCCCAAAGAATGCAGCACACACAAACTCTATACAAAGCTTATTTTACTCAAATAACTTAGTCTTTATCAATCAAAAGCTGTTAATAAACTGTTTTAACAGCCTACCAGAATTCTAAGATAAGGTAATCACAGTCTTACTAGAGTTGGCAGAAAGCCCAGAAGCAATTTTGCAGACATGAGAGTGAACTAAGGTTGTTCTCTACAGCTTGTTGCAAGTGGCGTTCCTTCTTAAATAGGCTAAGGGAGTGGCCAATTATCCTCAAGCCTTACTCTCAAGGAGTCCTCCTCCTGAGGAGCCACTCCTGCCTTTTGGCAGCTCTGCGCACCCATGCATTGAGAAAAGGCTCCTCCTCTTTGTCCTCTTCACTTAAAGGAGCTTCTGGAGGTTCTGAAGGCCCTGGCTGAATCCCTGCCTCTGGCACCACATCTTCTTCAGCCTCCTCACTGTCCGACTTGAGCGCCAGCTGCACAGGCTGCTGACGCAGCACCACACCAGCCTCCTTGTTGTCGGAATCAGCTACAATCTGCACAGGTGGCTGACGGGCCACAACACCGCTCCACAGTGCTTTACAACACTCTCTGGGCGGTTTACAATCTCAGCCTATTGCCCCCAACAATCCGGGTCCTCATTTTACCGACCTCGGAAGGATGGAAGGCTGAGTCAACCTTGAGCCCTGTCAGAATCGAACTCCAGACTGTGGGTAGAATTTGCCTGCAGTACTGCGTTCTAACCACTGTGCCACCAGGTCAAATGCAGTGACTCACTTAAGAACTGTGGAAAGAAAGGTCATAAAATGGGGTAAAACTTGTTTAATAACTGTCTCGCTTAGCAACAGAAATGTTGGGCTCAATTGTGGTTGTAAGCTGAGGACTACCGTACCTGTATCTGGATTCTTGCAGCCCAGGTAAGGGATTCTTAACGTTTAAGCCAGCGTTTTTTTACAAACTTTGGCAACTTTAAAGTGGATGGACTTCAACTCCCAGAATTTCCCAACCAGTCTACACATCGGAAAGTTGCCAAGGTTGAAAAACACTGTTTTAAGCAGTGGAGTCCAACCAGATGGGCTCTTTCTCGCCACCTTGTAAGACAGCCAAAAACCTAAGATTCCTGCATTTTATCTTTTGGAGAAGTGGCTCTGCTAGACACAGCTCTCAACGAGCATCATTTTATGCGCTAGGACCTAACAACGCAACCGAATATGATAGTGTTTGGAGACACTTCTCCCTTGAAGCCTGCCAATTTCAGAAATATCCTTTCAAGTAAACAGTTCGATAATTTAAGGCTTTGTGCACAAACGTCCTTGCAATAATTTCTAGATTCTAGCCGTGCCAATAAAAAGCAAAAAATGAAAATTACGCAGCTCTTCGGCCGCACCCCTTCGAGACGTGTAATTTAGTTTAAATACTTCGGTATAGCTAGGCATGTCGGTTAAGATATACTGAGTAATGACTGTGTCAAGAAAGACATCATTATCGTAATTTTAGAGCACTTCACAACACTTCAATAAACTCAAACTACAGTGCGCGCGGGATGATCTATCCTCCCTTTGAGAAATGACTGTGGAAAGCCAGCATTAGCTCATCCAGGTTGGTAATAACAAGGACTGCACAACTCAATCATTTGCAAAGCTGTAGAAGGCTTCCTAGAAACTGTACAGTTTTCTGGCAACTTTCTATTCTGTTAAGGAGAACCCCCTATTTACGTATCCTTGTTCTGACCCAGCCTTAGCAGAACCAAGAAACAGATTCCTTGTCCCAAAAAACCCTTTTTTATTTAGCTACTGTGAATTCATGGCATTCACACACAGAAAAGTCCAGGCAGTAATCCTTCCAAGGGTTAATTGCAGTAACGGACTTTATCAGTCAGATAATTGCCAGGCCAAGAGCTTCCAGTCGCAAAGCTGTAAATTAATTCCTGGCAAGAAGTCTCTGAGGCACGAACCACGATAAGCAAATCTGAATAGAATAGAATAGAATAGAATAGAATAGAATAGAATAGAATAGAATAGAATAGAATAGAATAGAATAGAATAGAATAGAATAGAATAGAATAGAATAGAATAGAATAGAATAGAATAGCAGAGTTGGAAGGGACCTTGTAGGACTTCTAGTCCAACCCCTGCTTAGGCAGGAAACCCCACACCACTTCAGACAAATGGTTATGCAATATCTTCTTAAAAATTTTCAGTGTTGGAGCATTCACAACTTCTGCAGGCAAGTTGTTCCACTGATTAATTGTTCTAACTGTCAGGAAATTTCTCCTTAGTTCTAGGTTGCTTCTCTCCTTGATTAGTTTCCACCCATTACTTCTTGTCCTGCCTTCAGGTGCTTTGAAGAATAGTTTGACTCCCTCTTCTTTGTGGCAACCCCTGAGATATAGGAACACTGCTATCATGTCTCCCCTAGTCCTTCTTTCATCAAATTAGACATATCGAGTTCCTGCAACCGTTCTTCGTATGTTTTAGCCTCCAGTTCCCTCATCATCTTTGTTGCTCTTCTCTGCACTCTTTCTAGAGTCTCCACATCTTTTTTACATCGTGGCAGTATTCCAAGTGTGGCCTTACCAAGGCATTATAAAGTGGTATTAACACTTCACGTGATCTTGATTCTATCCCTCTGTTTAGGCAGCCCAGAACTGTGTTGGCTTCTTTGGCAGCTGCTGCACATTGCTTCCGAAAGAAATACGAACTGTTGTCTCCTGCAATCACCACACTCCCCTTTTGCTTCTATTTATTCCCCAGCCAGGGAGGGACCATTCAGCATCCACATGTGCCTTTCTTCCCGAGTTGGCCCCTGTTCCTCAGCTGTACTCCTGACAGCTCTGCGCATATGCACATCTGGAACAGGCCCCAGCTGTTCTTCTTCCCCACTTATCTCCGACTCCAAAGACAGTTGGGAAATGCCGGATGGCCCTGGCTCTATCTCTGCTTCTGACGCAGAACATCCATCAGAGCCTTCCCCAGACAGGATTGGCCCAAGGTTCTCCCAACCTCCTCATCGCCCGAGTCGGATGGACCACAACAATCCTCTTGATCAGGAGGTACAATGTAGTGGAATATCATGAGGAGAATTTGAACCCATTCGTTGTGATGAAGTGGTCCTTGAGGTATAACTGGATTTGGGTAGTGTTTGTGGGTTGTGTTGACCATACTGGTCACAATATACAAAACTAATCAGTTTGCCACCCAGTCATTATCAGGGAATGTGTTTGCATGGAAATGGTTAAGACAGTCAGCCACCCACCCAACCCTTACTACCTCTTTCTAAAAAAGAAAGTCTCACCTGACCAAAGCCAGAAGGGATGGCTGAGATTGGCCAGACTAAGTTTTGCTGTATTTTTTTCCCCTCATCATATATCCCTGATGGTGAACCATGGCCATATCTGTGGGCACATGAGCATTGCCCTAGTTCAGCTCCAGTGCATATACGCATGCCAGCCAACTGATTTTCTGGCTTTCCGGGTCCACCGGATGTTGGGAAACGGGCTCTAGCCTCTGGGGGGGGGCGTTTTTTGCCCTCCCCAGGCTCCTAGAAAGGCTCTGGAGCTTGGGGAGGGTGAAAAACAGGCCTTCCCTTCCGGTCCCACCATGCCATCGCGTGCCAATAGTGGGGGTAGCGCAGGGGGGTCACATGCACATGCATGGGGGGGCAGGGGGCATTGAATTATGGGTGTGGGCACGCACACGCGCACAACCCCCCCTTTGCTCCCCCCCCCCACTTTTGGCACACGATGGCAAAAAGGTTCGCCATCACTGTCATACATCCTAACTTCTATGGCTTATTCATTCTTACATCTTTTCTGCACTTTGCATAATGGTGCAGATAACAGTTAACAGATTGACAGAGTTGGGAGGAACCTCATAGGTCATCTAGTCCAACCCCCACCCCCGCCCAAGCAGGAGACCCTACACCATTTTCTGACAAATGGCAGTCCAGTTTTCGTGAAAGCTTCCAGTGATGAAGCTCACACAACACATGATAGATAAAACTAAAATAAACTGAAAAAGAGTGGATACTTGTTAGGCAGGTGCTGAAACTTCAATGGGATCCTAGCCAAACTGTAAGTAATAAGCAGGAATTACAGATCTCTTCATAAACTAGAATGTGGCAATGTTTTTGAGAAGAACCTGTAATTTACTAAAGGAGTTACTAAAATAACCTCCCTGAAACCTTAAGCAATGCACGTTTCATTGTATCTTTCCAGGAAAAGAATCACATTTTTTTACAGTAATTATTCATGTAAAAAATAAATAAATATTGTACAATTGCTAAATGATTCTGTATTTTTATTTTATTTATTTATTTTCCACCTTTATTTTTATAAATAACTCAAGGTGGCCAACACACATAATAATCCTTCCTACTCCTATTTTCCCCACAAAAACCACCTTGTGAGGCGAGTTGGGCTGAGAGAGAGTGGTTAGCCCAAAGATACCCAGCTGGCTTTCATTGCCCAAGGCAGGATTAGAACTCACCACTTTCTGGTAGTTGGCCCCAAATCATCCAGCAGGCTTTCATACCTAAGGTGGGACTATATCTCATTATCTCCTGACGATTGGCCCAAAGATACCCAGCAGCAGAGGTGCTATTCAGCAGGTTCTGGAGAACCGGTAGCGGAAATTTTGAGTAGTTTGGGGAACTGGCAAATGCCACCTCTGGCTGGCCCCAGACTGGGGTGGAATGGAGATTTTGCAGTATCCTTCCCCCGGAAATGGGGAATGAATGGGGATTTTGCAGTATCCTTCCCCCTGCCATGCCCACCAAGCCACGCACATCAAGCCACACCACACCCACCGAACCAGTAGTAAAAAATTCCACCACTGCCCAACAGGCTTTCAAACCTGATGACCAGCTGGCCGGCACCTCAGAACCCAACAACCAGCTGACTGGCATGCATGCACACCTCGGAAACCCAACGACCAGCTGACTGGCATGCATGCGCGTCTCGGAAACCCAATGACCAGCTGACTGGCATGCATGCGCATCTCGGAAACCCAATGACCAGCTGACTGGCATGCATCTGCACCTCAGAAACCCAACGACCAGCTGACTGGCATGCATGCGCATCTCGGAAACCCAACAACCAGCTGACTGGCGTGCATGCACGCCTCGGAAACCCAACACCAGCTGACTGGCGTGCATGCGTGCCTCGGAAACCCAATGACCAGCTGGCCGGCGCGTGAAACCCAATGACCAGCTGGCCAACGCGTGAAACCCAACAACCAGCTGGCTGAGCTGGGGCGACAGCGTACATGCCCACAGAGAGGGCTCTGTGTGCCACCTCTGCCACGCGTGCCATAGGTTCACCATCACGGCACTAGACCAAACTGATTCTGGCATCTGTAATCATTCATTAGGCAACTGAATATGGAATAGTCTGTTTCTATAGATAATTTTTTCCAAATAGTAAGCAAACTTTTTTCTCTCTGAGAGAAAGCTTCAATGAATTAGAATTAGACAGAACTCAATCTTGACTACGGAGCTTGGATTATATAACCTCTGACTTTTCCTCAGAGTGTCAACTATACAAGAGATGCTCTGATTGTTCAGGTTGCTGAATTATTTTGCAAATACCACTTGCTGACAACCTCATTCATCCCTCTGACTCTAACTTGGCAACACTCCACTGCATAATTACAGTCACAGCATATTAGCCGGTAATTGAGCACAATAACATCTGGCATTTCAACATTTTAAAACAGAGACAGCATTTCAAACGACATCCATCCCCTCTCAATTACCTCAGCTTTCTCAAATATTAACTACTGGTCGGAAAAAACAATGTTTATTCCAGCAAGGAAGACTATAAACTGACAGGAAAAAATGGACTAAATTAAGGAGGGCAATAATTAAGAATAGTTTTCTTTGCAGAGATCAATATTTATCATTGCATTTAACAAAGAAGGAAAGCTTGGCTGGGCAGCCATCTGGCTAGTTCTGGGTTTCTCAAGCTTGGCAAGTTTAAGATGTGTGGACTTCAGCTCCCAGAATTCCTCACTCCACCAAGCTAGATGGGGAATTCTGGGAGTTGAAGTACACACACACACATACACACACACCTTAAACTTGCCAAGTTTGAAAAACACTGGCCTACATCTAGATACATAGGGGACGTGATGGCTCAGTGGCTTAGATGCAGAGCTTGTCGATCGAAAGGTCGGCAGTTCAGCAGTTCGAATCCCTAGTGCCGCATAACGGGGTAAGCTCCTGTTACTTGCAAAGCTGGCTGAGGAAATCTGGGAGTTGAAGTCCACAAGCCTTAAAGTTGCCAAGATTGGAGACCCCTGCTCTAAAGTGCTGGACTATATTTCCCATCACCTTCCAAGCAAACTCACGCTGAACGGTTAGAACCAAACAGAATGCCAGAATATGCCAATGAAGGCTCAATCATCCAGGCCAAAGGTGATTTAAAGTTGAACCATGGCAACTGGAGCAAATTTTGTTAATGTCAGACAATTCATTGTTCATCCAAGCAACTTTATCAGTCAGAGCAAAATTATTTAGGCAGAGAGTCATTGGAATGTACCAAATCTTCCCACAGGGCCACACCAGCTTCAGTTTCTCCCCAAAACACCGGAGTACTTTCAAAAAACGATCTTACCCATTCCATGTTGTTGTTTTTTTATAGGCAGATTCAGCTAAGCCATTTCAGCACCCTGCATTTTTGCATTATGGCTGACTACTCAAGATAAACCGGAGCCCTCAAATTATTACCTTCTTTACATCTCAGACACGCTAGGTCATAATTTTGAAAGCGATGGCTCAATAAATTTCCAAAGTGTGAAGAAGGCGGGTAATGATGAACTCAATGGACTCATAATTCTGACTTGGCATCAATTAGAATCCAATAGCCCAATTTCACTATCAAACTTCTCCAAAACTTGGAATAAAAGAGGAGGGTTGGGCTAGGCAGGTTTTCCATTAGCATGATCAGCAAGTTAGCTTTTGTTGTTGTTGTTGTTGTTGTTGTTGTTGTTGTTGTTGTTGTTGTTGAATTCTTAAGTCACGGATACTGAGTAAATTTATACTGATTGTAGAACATGCAGAACATGTTCTAGATGCTTCTAAATCAAGTATTGCTATCTACCTCAGAGAGGGGCTGCTTACCTTCTCAGATGCTGCATCGTGAATTGGTAACTCCTCCTGGCTAAAAGGAAAAAAAAGGAAGAATGTCAGTTACAGGGACAACAGATTGCAAGGCAGAAATGAAATACAGGCAGTCCCCGACTTACGACAGTTCATTGAGTAACCATTCAAACAGCACTGAAAAAAAGTGACTCGTGACCAGTTTTCACACGACGGTTGTAGCATCCCCATGGTCAGGTGATCAAAATTCAGGTCGTAAAATGAGGCAAACTCACTTAACCATGTTTCACTGGACAAGAGAAATTTGGGGCTCAATTGTTGTCATAAATCAAGGTCTATCTGTAACTGATTCCAGAATAGCCCATCATAGTTGTTAGGGTTGGGAGCACCCACTGGGCTAAGACACAACATAATTTGGTTTCTTAGTATGAAAGAAGTCACTGCAACCATGGTTTCTGAGTCATCATTAAATATGAATCCAAACACCTGAGCTTTATTTTATTTTATTTTTTTAATTTGATTTATATGCCTTCTCTGGAGACTCAGGGCAGCTTACAATGCGCTAAGCAATAGCCTTCATCCTTTTGTATATTTTATACAAAGTCAGTTTATTGCCCCCACAAACTGGGTCCTCATTTCACCTACCTTAGAAAGGATGGAAGGCTGAGTCAACCTTGAGCCTTGGAGAGATTCGAACCAGCAGAAATTGCAGGCAGCTGTGTTAATGACAGGGTGCACTAAACCACTGTACTATCAAGGCTCTTTTTATACATAACCCACAAGCAAACAGTAGCTAAGGATGATATTCTAATCGGATCTGAAATTTTTGGATTACACTTTCTCTATACAAAACGAGCCTTCTTCAAGGAACCTCCAGCAAAACCTACAGCATTGAGCAAATGTGCATAAACCTATTTTTTTTGTACTGCAAATTAATCTAGAAGGTCTTTCAGGGGATTAGTTCATGGGTTTACAAAAAACATAGGCTTCCCAAGGTAGAGAAGTACACATTCATTACATAAAATAATCAAGTATTTATTGAGCTTACATTCCCAAATTACTTGGCTTTAAGCCAAGCTGAACCATACCTGAAAGTTTAATAACTATGCCAGATTTGTCAGTTCAATCAGTTTTAAACATAGATCATTGCCCAAATTAGCAAGGTGAGAACTTTTATAATTGGAGAGTATGAAAATAATGAATAATTAATCCATCTACTAATTGTATTAGCAAGATGTTCAGCATCCAAAAACTGCATGCTTTGCTGTCTGCCTCCCCATTTGGGCTACAGCCCTGTGCTTACTAATTAGGAACCAAACTTCATTAAGCACAATAGGATTTTGTTCTAAGTAACTGAGATTCACTATACTATAGGGATATTAAGGTGTTGGGCAAGAACTAGGGAAACGAAGGGTTCAAGTCTACCCTTAGCCAGGGAAATTCACTCTGTGACTTTGACCCAGCTGTACTCCTTCAGCTTGACGGACCTCACATGCTGGCTGTTATAGAGATAAAATTAAAGAAGTTCCCCATATAGGAGATCTTGAGTGTGAGGAGCCATGGAGATGACCCAGGAGAAGCCATTCAGAAAATATTAAGACAAGAACAGATGAAGAAACGTGTCTTGAACCTAGGGAAGCATGGAAATATTATTAAAATACTTAGACTCCCTGAGGTAGGTATATAAAAAAAAAACTAATCAAGGAGAGATTCAACCTAGAAATAAGGAGAAATTTTCTGACAGTGAGAACAATCACTGTCAAAACTTGTGGGAGCTTCATCACTGGAAGCTTTCAAGAAGAGACTGGACTGCCATCTGTCAGAAATTGTGTATGGTCTCCTGCTTGGGCCCGGGGTTGGACTAGATCAGGGTCACCAACCTTTTGGACCTCAGGGACCACTAAATTCATAATTTTAAATCCCACGGACCATTAATATGATCTGCCTAATGACCAGCTGGATGGGCATGGCTAGGTGGTCATGTGACTGGGTGGATGTGGTCAAATCAATGTCACTCACGTCGAGGGGCACCTTGTCGGCCTCTACTCGCCCCTCCCTTCCCAGCCACTCCTCGCCTCCCCGGCCGGGCTCCTTAGGGCCCCAACAGGAAGCAGTTGTTGGAGCTAAGCAGCCACCACGAGAAAGAGTTGGCAAAACAGCTGGCTCAGTTCAAATTGGATCTGACCGAGAAGGAGGCTCAGCTGAAGCACCTCACTGAGGACTAGGAGCATAGGCTTTCCAAGCAGAGCGAAGACCTGTGGGAGTGCAAGGCCAGGTACCGGTGACTGGAGGCTCAGTGGGCTGAGATGGTCAGCCAGTTCCAGGCCATGAGGCAGTCCCACTGGAACAAGGCCCTCCGGCTCTTCGCCACCAGTGGCACTTCCCTCCAGCCTTCGCCCAAAGCGCTGCACCAGGATGCTGAAGCAGACCCCAAGTGAGAATTTCTGGCCCCCTCTGACCCACACATGAAGACCCCGAAGGGGAGACTCTCTGCAGCAACACCAACGTTCATTGCATGTATCTGTCCCAGGGGCCGTAGTTTGAGGACCCCTGATTTAGTGCAATATAAAAAATGCAAATAATTTTTCTGCGGACCACCAAAATTTTCTCGCGGACCACCAGTGGTCCACGGACCACCAGTTGGTGACCGCTGGACTAGATGACCTACAAGGTCCCTTCCAAATTTGTTATTCTGTTACTATAGCCAATAGTTCCAGTCATGTGACTTCTTTCCTGGTTGGATTTACCTCACAGGGCTGACAAATCTTAGCTTGATATGTGTATGGAGTTTCTCAGGCATTCAGGTCTTGGTTGTCCCAAACATGCTTTTTTCAAGAGGCAACTGGACTTTTTTGTTTTCCCTTAATATTTAGGGAACAGGGCGGTGAACAGCCAGAAGTAAAAAACATCAAATACAAAATATAAAAATATATAAAATATATAAAAAAATATATAAAAACAATTTAAAAATGAATTAAACAATTTGGCCCAACAGTTAAAATCCCCCATTAAAAATCCAAATTAAAATAGATAAAGATGTTTAAAGATGTTTGTTTAAAGATGTTTGTTTCACTTCTCATCCAAGAAGCTTCTTCAGTTCCAGAAGCTTTTTGGATGCGAAGCGAAATGTCTTCAAGGAAAAACAAAATCCAGTTGTCCCTTGAAAAAGCACCGTAGGTTGACATCTTTGTCTCAATTCACACACCAAGTGGTGGGCATAAAAAGGGATTTTTCTTCCTTCTCTATAAATGTATAGTCCATTCCTCTTGGAAAAATTAACAAGGGGGAATTGCATCCTATTCTCATAGTGGAAAACTTAGCTTAGAAAGTAAATACTTAATGGGAAGAACCATGCTAAATAAAGTCCATTTTGTCAGCTACTCGGCCTGACACTGAGATTGTATTTCATTTCAATAACTAAATATGTGCTTTAGCAGCTTTGACCTTGTGTAATTCCTTCCCACTTCCTTTCTTAGGACTCTGCATTTCAATCATGTCTCCAATTAACTAATTAGTATAAATGATGACTTGTGGATTTGCTGTGGTCTGTCAAGAAAGCAAGAGGGAATGGGCACTATGAAAAACTGAATGTGATATTAATCATGCATGTCTCATAACCAAAATAAAATAATTCTCTCCCAGTATTAAATTAGATTTTAGTTATTTTAATATATTATACTGCTGACTGGCTATTCATGTAGTTTAAGTACTTCTGATGGATACATTCCAGTGAGAATTCAAAACATGTGGAAATGGATTTGTCAGTATTCATAATAATCTCCCTCTGCTTCTATTATATCATCGGTGGCCTTAAACATTTTAGAACCAATATCTGCCATTAAAAGCACCTGACTGGATTGAAATTTAGACATTATCCAGACTGATGTGCTGAAATTCGAACTCACGCTAAGTATCAATGTTTCTAACTTTAACAATATTTGAGGTCTGGGTTCATTTCTTTTCTAAAATAGGAATGGTTGGTTTAGCAGCATTATTTTTATATCAGGCATCTCTGACAAATTATAACCAACTGAGGTTATAAAAACTATTTTACACGGGACAATATCTGGCATACAGTAAGCTATTATCAACGTTTCCTTCCAATTCTGTATGCACATCTTCAAGATCATGTGAAGTGTTAACACTGCTCTATATTGCACTGGTTAAGATCACACTTGGAATATTGCATTCAGTTTTGGTCACCACGATACAAAAAAGATGTTGACACTCCAGAAAGAGTGCAGAGAACAGCACCAAAGACGATTAGGAGACTGGAGATTAAAACCTATGATGAACAGTTGCAGGAACCGGGTATATTTAGTGTAACGAAGAGAAGAACTAGGAGTGACATGATAGCAGTCTTCCAATATTTAAGAGGCTTTCACCGAGAAGAGGGAGTCAACCGATTCTCCAAACCACCTAAAGGCAGAACAAGAAGCAATGGATAAAACCAATCAAGGAAAGAACCAACATAGAATTAAGGTGAAATTTCCTGTCAGTGAGAAGAATTAATCAATGGAACAGGTTGCCTTCAGAAGTTGTGAGTGTTTCATCACTGGAGGTTTTCAATCAGAGATTGGATACCTATTTGTTCAGAATGGTAAATGGTCTCTTGCTTGAGTAGAGGGTTGGACTAGAAGATCTTCAAGAACCGTTCCAAGTCTGTTATTCTGTATTGTCCTTTCTTCTACAATAAAGTGTAAGTATAAAGTGTCAACTAGAAAGCAGAGACATCACCCTGCCAACAAAAGTGCATATAGTCAAGGTTATGGTTTTCCCAGTTGCAATGTATGGTTGTGAAAGTCGGACCATGGGGAAGGCTGAGCACCAAAGAATCGAGGCCTTTGAACTCTGGTGCTGGAGAAGACTCCTGCGAGTCCTTGGACTGCAAGGCAATCCAACGGTCAGTCCTAGAGGAGATCAACCCTGACTGCTCTTTAGAAGCCCAGATCCTGAAGACGAAACTCAAATACTTTGGCCACCTAATGAGAAAGAAGGACTCACTGGAGAAGAGCCTAATGCTGGGAAAGTTTGAGGGCAAAAGAAGAAGGGGACGGCAGA